AACAAATCCGAATATCGCTCCCAGGATCCACATACATCAACCACACTGCAATTGTGAGTGGCAAATAAATAAGACCCATCACACGCAAAAGACGTATACAACTCATACGGATTGCGGAAAATAGGCCAATCGTCCATCAACCTCAACAATTTGCGAGACAACAATTATCCCTTGCTATACGTTGCCTCCCAATAGTTTCCCACAAGATCTAACACGTTCAGAACGATCTTCGAACCAACAACAGGCAATTGAAAAGGAACCCATCCGTATCTTGGATCTCTTCTCTCATCCTCCTCAGGTTCTATTTCTACGTGCACATCTGACGTGCACCAATTTAACCCGCATTCCACATTATCGTGAAAGAAATCATTTGACCTCAACAACCCCTTCGCAAGCAAGGACTCGTGAAGATGCCCAACAAAAGTCATCATTCCTAACCCGAAAATCATGTGGGGGTTCATTCGAATAACGCGGTCAAGGACAATCCAATACGTAAACATGATATACACGGTTTCTGGAATTGTCCCAAGCGGCACCCAACCCTCATCACAACTCCGCATAGCAAAACAAAATTCTCCGTCCCTCATTCATGGTTGCAGCAACTCGGGCTCCAATTAACGACATGTTTTGTGTAAGTCGGTGGACGAAATTGCACTATGTTCGTGTGAATAGGCACACACGACGGACAAGCACCAGCTTCCCACCATTTGCTAACATCGTGATCCTGCGAACTGGAGTCACAGGACATGATGATCGTATCAAGCAACGAAAAAAATAAAACCTGCGTAGTAGAAAAAAAAAAGTTCATAACAATTGAAGCATACGTCTACAACACATGAGCGCACATCGATTGCAACATTTGCATGCCTTTCGATAGACAACAATTTTTTCGAACAAAGAAACCAATTTGAAGTTTGTTTGTTTTCTTCATGTTGACTCCATAAAAGTTTGCGTAATGTTTAGGATAACCCTAAAATCCCCGTACGGTACACGACACATTGTCATGTGAAACAACAAGGACATCCCTCAGTACGAACTACCCCAACATCAATACGACTGTGTCGTTTTGACAATGGTATTATGACATGTTTTATCATCTTCGAAGACAACTCTCTTATTCACATGTTTCCTTTGATTCAAAAACACACTACAATAAACGCACTATACTGCCCTGAAACGGAAATACTCCACATTTGACATTCATAATTGCACTCTCTATCGTCCTCAGAATATATCCGTTCTACCTCCACTTCGAGTCGCACACTGTTATGACAGCGACCTTCGTAAACGTATTTGGATTTGATGCTCACAACTCAATCACTTCTCCCCCTCGTCGTACTGTGCAGCGTGAAGAACCAAAGCTTCAATCAATTCGTCACTCCTATCTAGCAGATTATGTCTATGCTTATTAAGCTCTGGAGGCAGTTTGTCAGATGTCCCACATCTATCGACTTTGAACTCGCTCTTCAGATGTTTGATCGTGTCAATCGAGTACATGAGCAAACCTCTATATATCCTCCTTTCTAGCTCCTCGTCAAATAAGTCTTCTTGTGTGTACTTGGTGTTGTTTGGCCACACGTTTTGCAAAATGCAAAACGGATTATCAATGCATTGTTCCAAAGGCTCACGCGTAGGTGACTTGGAATCACTTGTGCCCTCACGAGACCTTTTGTTTGTATTCGGAGGGACACAAGCCACACCATGTGCTCCTTGATGACCAACCTCCAACGCCTTCAGCACACCTACTCGCTCTAAAGTATCTTTCCACCTCGTCATTTCCCAGCGCTTGAGACGTATTTTCCACTGTTTCATCTGATCGTTAATATAACATATATCGTCCTCTAACCGCTCTTGCTCTTTCTCCAATACACGGAGTGAGTGGTAATAATTGTTCACGCTTTTCATATCCTCATCCGCCAGCGTTCGTACCCGATCCAAAAGTGTTACCAGCTCAGATTTGGTGGGCACCGAATTGTTGTCCTCTCTCAATTTTCCTAGCTCTTCATCCACAAGTATCCTCACATCTAAAATAGGATGACCAAGAGGTGGAAACCACATGTCGAAATCTCCTTCTACTGTGGGAATCGATTTCAACGACATCGACAATCTTCCTAATTCCCTGCGTTAAATGCGATTACAAAAGAGTTCAACAAAAGAATAAAACCTTTATCAATACATTGAAAAAAAGATATCTTTGAGAGATTAGGATTTCAAATGTGTGCATACTTTTCCCTCACCATACGTACTTCCATTTGCCATTTTCGCACATTAACGCGCATCTCTCTCTCTCTCTCTCTCTCTCTCTCTCACACACACACACACACACACACACACACACACACACACACACACACACACACACAAACACATTGGAAGGAGAAATGGACGTCGTAAAGGTAGTCATGCTCCTATAAAATTCGCCACTTCAAAAGTGTTGGGAGCATGACCACCTTTACGACATCTCTCTATCTATCTATCTATCTATCTATCTATCTATCTA